AAGAGCCTGGACCGAGAAATCTTGGACAAAAGATCAAAAAGTCATAAACCGAGAAAAAACGAAAAACATTTTTTAATTTTTCAAAAAACAGCTGGTTTTTCGAATAGGGGTTGACGAAAATTTTGGACAAAAAGGAGGTATCGAGAAAAACTTTTTATCAGTTATGAAAGAACAGATCACGGGCTATCTTCCCATGCATTTATCTTCATTTCGACTTTTTTGACGAAAATTGACTTTTTTTGAGTGGGGGGGGGAGGCCTTAAAACTTTGACGAAAATAAGATAGAGATCTGTAGGTTGCACTATTCAAAAGAGCACATTATTGGTCATATAATCTGCTCGAATTTGATCTTTATACAACAGGTTAGAGACGATGATTCTACATCGATCAAAATCCAATAGAATAGTTTTCTAGAAAGCCATTTTTTGAAAATCTCCTGCAAAAACTCACTCAATTGATCGATTGTTGGATCAATCGAATTTGAGCGGATTTTATAATCTTTGATGTCCTCTTTTGAGTAGTGAAATCTACAGTTTTCTATCTTTTTATCAAAATTTTGTTCAAAAAACATTACTTCTTTCTCATATTCAACTTAGAATTCTATAAACTTAATTTTAAACTTACAAGTTGTATTTAAATAAATAATACCAATGGATGATTTTTTTTCATCATTGAAACGCCAACGATCATTATTAACATATGTTTGATTTGTATTAAATTGAGTAAAAAATTTGACAGGAAGAAAATTTCCATGAAAACATTTTTCATCAATATCTTCATTAATAGAATTTAAAAATTCATATAAAACAAAATATTTTTCATCAATTAAATCTTTATAACAAATATTTCGTTGATATGATCTTATTGGTAAATAAATAATATTTAAATAAGCTTCACTTTTATTTAATGTTATATAAGGACTGTTAATTATTGAAATTTTTGAATGAAATTCATTTAATATCTGATAATCAATATCATCATTTGAACTTTTTAATAAATGAAAACAAACAAGAAATTTTGTATGATTTTTATGAATATTTTTTTCTAAATCCAAATCAAATGAATTAAAATGAAAAATTTTCTTTTCTTCTTCTTCTTTATTATTATAATCAATTGTTTTAATTAAACGATTTAAATGCCATGTATATTTTGTTAAATATTTTTCAACTTTATTTAAACGATTTTGTATTAAAGTTAAATTTGTTTGTTTCACACGTATTAAACGTTCAATCTTTGGTAATTCAATAAGTAATGAAGTAAATATACGATGTTCATCAGTAAAATAATATTTTCTTATTTGATTATATTTATATATTAATAGAATACATCCAAATATCAAAACAAAGAATAACCATCGTTGTCGACGATGATGTATCAACATAATTTTATATATGTTTCTTCTGACGCGTGATAATTCTTTCTGTTATATTTCTCGCTTAGATTGCCGATAGTACGAAAGAAAGAAAAAAGAAAAAGAAAAACGATTACCTACCGGGGACAATTGATTGGGCAGTAACACGCATGCCACGATAATCAACAACAACAGTGCCTAATGTATGCAAACCATCTAAATCAAGTGTATTTATAGCACGAACACCTTGTAAATCATTTGCTGGTGCTGAATGAGCAGCAGCATCACCACCAAAATCTTTATAATGATCTTTTACATCAAAACCAAGACTGAAGAACATATTATTCCATATATACATATGAACTCTAGAGAAAATATTGTTTAAAATAAAAATTTTCGAATCGATAATACAAGAAAAAAGTATCGAAAATTTTTTCGAACATTAAAAGTTGGACATAAATCATTAGCTGTCTATTAACATTATACGAAAACTTACAGATCGCGACAAACTTTTTCCTTTAAAGGATGTTATTTTTCTTGGAAGCACTGCTCTGACTTTCCATACTTATTTTCAAAAGTCATACGAGATTAAAATGTGGAGTACGTTTGATCTGTATGTATTAAAAATCAAAAGATCGATGTTTCAGTGGCCAAAAATAAGTATCTTAAATTCAAACTTCTTCTGTAATCATCTAAGGAACATCTTTAGTTCAGTAATCAATGAGGGAATCACTCGATATGATACGCATCGTTTGAACCTACAACTCATCCCCATTGGCGAGTTTACTTCGAAATTCAATATCTCCACAAGAAACTTTCAAAATATTGTATGAATTATTGAACATATCTATGAGGAAAATTTTTGCTTTTCTAATATTTATCTAAAATTGAGTCGAAAATTCAATGAAGCAATCATAACTCCATGCCGAAGAACTCTTTTAGATTTTTGCTACTTTCACCAAGGCATCCTTATAGGCCTAATATGAGCTTCAATGCTTGGTATCACCTTTTTTGAGATCGTCTTTCATTAACGAACTATTCCAATTTATGATTTTCCTTTTAGTACAATTGGAATAAATCATAAGTTATCAAGAGATAAATAAAAGACTTCTCAAAATCTCTACACGTATAAACAAATGTCAATAAGTTGACTTACTTTGATTCTTCACCAGGATTAATAGCCATTATATTACCATCAACAACAGCTTGACAACCACGAATAGCAGCTGAAATAAAATCAGTATGAACCTAAAAATTAATAAAATCTTGACAAAAACAAAGAAAAAGAAATTTTTAGTTATTTATACTTTGAACATTGCACGTTCACGTATAAGTCTTTCAGGTAAATTTTTCTTTGGTAATTCTTTTGTTATTTGTAATTCTTCATTCCAATCACGTACTTGACCAGGTATATGATCTTCATGACCAAGTTTATTTATATTTGCTAAAACAAAATTTAAAAAAGAAATCAATTTTAATGATGATTTTTACATAAATTCATATATTTACCATCTTCAGCTCGAAAATGATCCATGATATGTTCAAAACGTGGTGATAACCATGGATGAATTTGAAATGGAATTTGTATGCGTTCAAATGGATGTTTTGTACAACGTTTACGTTGTATAGCACGAAATTTTTTTTTAAAAACTGGACTAATCTATAGAAAATAAAAAAAATAATTATCTTTATTATATAAAATTTTTTTTTTATCCTACATTATTTAATAAATCAACAAGTGAATGAAATATAGCTTTAGGTTGCACCGGTTTTGGAAGAAATTTTTCATCTGTTGTTCTTTAAAATAAACAAAATAAATAAATTTTAATTATATTAATATTAAAATTTAACTTACTGACTAACATAAAAACCTTTTGTACAGGCTGTTATATGAAATGATTTTTCTTCACATGTTGTTACTTTTAAATACATAAGATCACCTATGGAAAAAAAAAAAAGAAGTCTAGATTGAAAAAGTTTTTCTTTCATTTAATTCACCATGTAATTTTCTTGAACCATTTGGTGGATTCCAACCACTATAGGATAATATTTTTAAAGATTGTAATCGCTAAAAAACAAACAAATAAATCTGTAATTTAAGATTCAGAATTTGGTATTAATTCTTTACAGAAAAATGTCACATATTGAAAATATTAGGGATATGAAAAACGATAACAGCTGTACCATTTTATTCAGAAGGCGCAGAATTTCTTTGTGAGATCTTTGATTACATATTGAAACGACAATTTTTTTTTATAGTTATGCAAAGATTCTTTTTGTAACGCTAGAAGAATGGTCCGAAGTCGTCAGTATTTGGAAATTCGTCGTTTATGTTAAGACTGTATTTGATCGAAATCATGAATATATTGAATTAGAAATGTATAAAAATCCTGAATAGTCGTCTTCCGTAATTCTCAGTGTATGATTTATTATTCATGTAGATATTGTATTAGAAGTACAACCATCACGAATAGCTGTAACATTAATTGTGGAAAAAACAATTTCCTTAACTTATATCCGATTCTGTTTTAAACGAATGAATGAAGAAAATGCAATCGATTGCAATGAGGAAATATAATAGGCATGCAACAACTCCTGGAACATCATGTCAAAAGATGACCTTTTTTTCTGTATAAGTAGCATAAGTATCTGTCGATTCTCCTTATCATTTCTACTCCTAAGCTACAGTCACATTGCATGAAATATAAAACAAAGATTTCAGCAGTAATCGAAATTTATATTTTTAGAGTCAATTCTAATCATTTGTGTTTTCTGAGAACTATCAAACTTCTGATAAATCGTTCAATCCGAAAAATTTTATTTTATACTCTATGAATTCAGACCAACAGCTTTGAAATAAGGCTAAGACAGAATATCAACAAGAAATTATGTTATCTATACTGAAAAGGTTATCTTTGACATAATACATTGCTAAAATATAGTTTTGACCATTTCTAACAAACATATGAAGAAACTACGCATATATATATAATCATGTATTTATCATCTCCATTATTATATATCTAATCATAGTCTAATTCATAACTGAACTAGAACAAATAAATATTTACATTAATTTTATTATTTGTTGTAAAAAGTGGCGTAAGTAGAATATCTTTTTGATTAGGTAAAAGATATTCTGGTACAATAGAATCATTTGCATTAGTTTCAGCACCTTTTCTTCGATCTACAAAAAGAAAAATTCATAAAAAAAAAAAAATCGAAAATAAAATTCTTTTTTTCTATTACCAGTATTCGATGCTGATGAAGATGTTTCACTATTATTAATATCATTCACAAGACATAATGAATAATTATTTGTACCATTATATAAATCATTTAAATCACATGCATGTATTAATTCATTTATATGTCGTATATGAATACGTACTTCACGTACAGTATATTGTTCTAAAGAGATGAATCAAAAAGAAAAATTTTTTTTTTTTATTTGAATAAATATAACAAAAAAAAAAAGATTATTTAATAACCTTCAACAACTTTTAATACACTTCCTTCTTTTAAACCATCGATATTTTTTAATTCCGAAAAATTATCAAGAATAATTCCATCAAGTTGTAATGAAAAACAAGTACGATGACATGTTTCTTCTTTATCCATTAAAACTTGATGAATTTCTTGTACAAGTTCACTTGATGTTACCTAAAAAAGAAAATATTTATTTTATTTTTATATTTCTTGAATTTTTCTTACCGATAAATCAAATATATCTAAACCAGGCGATTGTATTCGTATATTAAATGAAATTTCAGGTGAAAGAATAAGTTCATTAGGATTATTTAAATTTGTTGTTGTTATGCTACTTGTATTTAAATTTGATGATGATGATGATGATATATTAGGACAATTATTAAATGATACATCATTAATTGATGATGTTGAACTTGTATTTGTTGCTGCATCATCATTATCAGAATCTTGACGAGTTTTTATTAAATCATCTTGATGACCATTACATGTCATATAATCAGAATTTGTTATTGAAATATTTTCGTCTGGTTGTTTCATCATCTATTTTGATTTTGTTAAATCGATGAATATACACAAATGAAGTAGACGAAAAAGAAACAAACAAGAAAAATACTAGAAATACAAAAGGAAAGATAAATCTATATCAAGACATAGTTTTCTATAGCAATTGTTTATATATGTATAGGCACATGTTGACTCGAAGAAGGTCGATTTCTATTGGAAAGAATAGTTAGGAATATGTATGTTCTTTATACAATGCTATATATTATTTTATAACAATCAATATTTTTCGAGATATTACATCATGAAGAACAAAAAAAGAAGAGTACCTTAAGAGTACAAATGACTTTTATTAATATCACGAAATCACAATGGGTTTCGAATAGAAAAAGCAAAACGACCTATAAAAACACGCTAGCTAGGCGAAAGAAGAAAAACAATATAGTACTGTTGATGTTATGTCGTACAGTACAGAGTGTATTGTATAGTATGAACAAGGACCAAAAACCTATCAGAGATATAATGTATAACTATCTAGAAAAGCATATGTAGTGGTTTCATAAGAAAGAAGTAAAAAAAACGAGAGAGGACGAAAGTTCATGGCCTCTCTCTCTCTCTTTTTTTCCTCAATCAATGATTTGTTCTTTACTATGCCTATATCAATCATCAAAGGAAAAGTCTCTCATGAATAACGAAGAGTCAGAATGACCTTTTGTATAAGATATAATATAAAAGTATAGTTTTGAATGAGCTTGTTGATAGAAACTAGAACATCATTATCAGCTATACTGTTCTAGCCTATTTGTCTGTTTGCTTGATTTAGTTACCAGAAGAATTTTGATGGACAGAATAAGACGAATGCGCACGATGCGTGCATGGTATATAGCGAAAATATAAGTGAGAAAAAAGAAAAAAAAAAAAGAAGATAGATAACAGTGAGAACGAGTTAATCGATCAGCGTTCTTCTATAATAATATTAAAAAAAAAATAACCTACAGAAAGAGAAAAAGGCAAAAGAAAGAAAAAGAAAAGAAAACATATATATATCTATGTCCTCCCTTTCGAATTACCATATGCATATTGTTGATATAAAATATCTCACTATCCAATTGGCTAGCAAACACATATGGAGTCCAATAGTTCAAACCTCTGTCCAAATAATACCTAACTAACGTAGATATTTTTTTTTCTATTATACCGATGTGCTGTCTTATCTTTATAATTTTATCATCGAATGATGATGCGTTTATTTAGAGTAGTCAGCCTGTGTTTCTCTCTCAATCATGCTTATCAAATTGAGATTTAAGAAATTAGATTTTTAAATAAAATTAATAGAGCATATGGTAATTTTTTATCTCGAAAAATAATAAAACCTCGATTCCGATTAAAAATTTTTATTCTTTGTCATAAATAGAAAAGTTTTCGTAGAAATTATATCAAATAAAAGAATAATCAATAAACGGTATATTGTCAGTCATAACACCTTCGTTTTTTGAAATGTATATAAAAATAGGAAAGAGAAGTTTTTTTTTTTGTTCATCGGTTCTAAAAAAAAAGACACTTATAATCCTCTAAATTCGGCCATCGATCTCTTCTCCAGCCCTGGTGACCTCAGGACACACTATATGCGATTTACAGTACTTTTGAAACATAACTACGTTGTCTTAAAAAGAATTTTGCTTAAAGAAATGTAACTTACTTAGGAAATAATTACAAAACTGTGTAAAATAGTAGTCAATGCTTCATTTGTTTTATCTAACAAAAGTTTTATTTGACTGAAAGTACCTATACGAAAAACTATATCAATCAAACACTTCGATAAACCAGGTTTTTATTATTATTAATTCTCAATACCTGGAAAAAGTTAAATTTAAAACTTAATAATTAGGAGATTTAGTTAGTCTATTCTCAAACATGTCTAATAATAAGAAATATTTTCATTAACTAAGCTTATCATATAATTAAAACATATTTATTAAAAATGATCTATGTATTTTAAATAGTTCACATATAATACTGCTAAAAAAAATCGATTTGATTATGTGTGCAGTAGAATAATAATAATATTCAATAGGATAGAGTCTACTTTTCGTTATTTATTCATGTATTAAAAAATGTATTGATAATTACCTGAATACTAGTACGTGGTTGGTAATAATATTGATTTAAAGGGTGACAAGCAAATAGTTTTGTAACTTTTTTTTTAGTTTCAAGGATGATTTTGATCGAATGTCGAATGTTTTTTTTTCTTCTTGTTCGTTCTATTACAAATTCACTTAAGATACTTAAGAAAAGCACATGTACAGTTGTGATTTCATATACCTATACAGTTAGAGTATCCCTTTTTCTCTCTCTTTCTCTCTGTTTATTTAAAATTGAACATTCTATGTATGCGCATGTACCAATCAGTGGGAACTCTCGAAATAGATGATTTTACCGAAGGATAAGAAAAATGACAAATCACGAGAGGATCAATCGATTCTTAAGTTATTATATGAAAGGGAAGATGAGAGGGTAGGAACAATAAATATAGATAAAATACACACGATTCATTTATTGCTATCACTATTCTTTGCATTTTATATTGACTTACTCTATTACGAAGTACGTGACGGTAAGAAACACAAATTATACTCCTAATGTACTCCTTTTTTGTTCGTCTGTATTTCATTTTTTTTTCTCTTTCGGTTCCTTTTTATTTCAATGATAAACGAAAAAAAAAACGTGACTCAATAGAAAAAAAACACACACCTATATCATACGTTCGTTTTCTTTTCTTCGAGAATAACGACAATGATACCGATCTGTATTGAGAGTATTTCTTTTTCTTATAGAGCTTCATTCTTTCAAAGAACCATCTATCTACAATGAAATCTTTGATTAGAACAAAGATAAATGGGAGAATCTATTGCTCTCTTACAAATGAAATTCAAGAAAGAAAAAAAGATAAACAAATTTTTATTTCATTCTCGGCTTAAAAAAACATGAAACCTTTTTTTAAGGTTAAAACAGCACATTGATTCATGTTGTATTCTTTTATTTGTTTTTTGTTTTATATTATATCATGAAATAATTGATAAACATCATTTCATATTCGATTAATACTTAAACACAGATTAATTAGATTTGCTATATCTGGCAAACGAAGATATTGTCTTTATTTTAATTTTACTAAAATATATTTGAACAATAATTCCAATTTGATTCGAATTATTGTTGAATTCATTTCTAACATCTAATTACTTTCACCTCGAAATGCTAATATTACTTTGATAGTTTGTGTATTAATATGATGAATACATTCGAGTGTTTTCGAACAATGAATAAAACAAAATGTTTGTATTGATTCAATACAATATTGTTAGGCTTCTGTCTGCAATACTTAAAACAATTATTTTTATAAGACAATATATTATCTATTTTATCTACTTGACATTAATTCTAATAAAGAAAAACAATATTCCCATGAGAAGAATTTAGTTTATCAATACTCAATGCAATAGTTGTACATGAGCCATAACTTATGAATGAAATCGAATCAAGTAGAAGATATACCATATTGGAAATCAAAACCAATAAGAATTAATTTATAATCAGCACGTTCGAATTCGAGACGCTTTTTTAACCAACACAATTAGACATATATCTGAAAAAAAAACAGCAAATTAGTTTTACCCGCCTATAGAAAATAATACAATAGGAGATTGCAACAAAATAGTTCTAAAGTTGACGTTGATATCCTAAACCTTCACATTCAATAATAGTTGTAGAATTTGATATATTCAATAAAGATGTTGATGCTTGTGATGTTGATAAGTGTAATATATCGTCTCTTTTTGATGATGGAATTTCAGTGACTTTGAATTTAACCTTTAGTAACAAACAAAAAAATATTAAATAAACATATTTATAAATAAAACAAACATTAGTTAAATGTTCAACAACATAAATTGCTGTCTTAGTACGGTCAGATAAAGGTCCACATCGAATTTTTGAATTACCTTTGGCAAGAGCCATTAGAAGAATTAACTATTAATATATGAAAACTAATTTAAATATGTATATTTAAAAACTTGATCACGAACTTGATCTTCTAAATATCGATCAACACATGCTTCATGAGATAAATCTTTAAGTAATTCTTCTGTTGCTTGTATTCCAACATTTGAAGCTAATATATCTCGTTTACCTAATGCATTTGCTGCAAGTAAACAACCTGTTGTTGTTTCGGCACCAATCCTATAAAAATTATTGTAGTTCAAATGATAACAAAGATTAATTTAACATGTAAAACAACTGTTCTGCATTAATTTTGTTTTGGATATAGTGTTCCGATGGAATATTGTAGAGAATCATTCTTCCTTTTTTATTAGAATGAGCGAAATTTCTATTGCAAAACTGTATAAATGAATCTGATTGAATATGATTTTTGAGAATCGGAAAAGTCATAGAACAAAAAAAGATACCAGGGAGAGATAGAATCTGAACTGATTACTGGTCGATCTGATCTATTCAGATCGGTTCCATCGCTAGTATAAGAAAATTCTTCCATAACTTTGGTGACAACTTCGTATTCAAATATATTTTGTTTCCAATTTTTTATTCTCAGCTTTCGTGTGGTATTAAAATAATTGATCTAGCATACAAGAGACTGAACAACCGACAGCTTAATCAAAAATTCAATTTGAGGTTTATAACGCAATAAAAACAAAGTTTTGCTTGAATATCTGATATAAAAACATAACAACTTCTTGTTATGAATCGAATTCAGTGACTTGGTTGTAATTACTAAGTTAGGAAAAATCGGGGATACCAGAAGATGTTACAACAAAGTTCATATCAAAGCTGTCAGATCAAAATTGTTTGGCTACAATATAATATTATTTTTCCCAGTAGCACTTGAAACATCGGATGACACCAAAAGCTCATGATTTCGTGAGAGTAATTGAGTGATAGTTTTTCTTCTCAATTGAAACAAGTTACGAAAGAATTCTCTGATATTTTTTGTTCTAAAAATTTCCCAAAGACTAGAAAACATTTTCGATCAAATTCGTTTGTATATTATTGCGACACTATGAAAAACAAAATTAATGCAGAAATTTTTGCACCACTACTTATATATCTATTTTTTCTTACATGATACCACTAGCTGTTCCAATAGCTTTATTTTTTGGTTCTTGAACAATTTCAATGTCTATTGGAATTTGTGTTGAATAGTTTTTATGTATTAGATTCTTAGCTGCTTCAGCCATTTCGTCAGCAATCTAAATATGTATTTAAATAAAATGAGTCTATTATTTGAAAAATAGATATGTGATACGTTTTTGGGAAGATTACCAGCAACAAAAGATCGACCAAAAAATCTTTTAATCTGTCCAAAATCAGTGAGATCAATAGATGTTAGTTGATCAATTGGATTAATACTTATTCTCACATTACCTCCACCTTTCGGATAATAACCTCTATTAAAATTATTAGCATTACGAAAATTTTCAATTTTTCAAACCTTCGAATTATATTTAAATCAAAATTAAAATTAAATCGTTTGGCTATTGGTTGAAATACCTATTAACAAAATTACAAAACAAAAGTATTATTTAAAAAAAGAAAAAGAAAATGTACGTATATTACCATTTTATAATAATCAATATCTGGTGCAAATTCAGTATTTGTACCTCCAAGTAATTTCAATTCAGATGGTCCATTAGCAAAAAGTAAACATGGAATAGCAGTTTGCATCATTAAACATATACTCCTTAGAAATATAAATTTCATTTATTAGTTTTTTTCTGTTTTTTATTTAAATAAAAAAATGATCTACCCAGCTGTTTTTGTATCACCTACAAAATTTCCACTTTTAATTGTTTTTGGTGTAAATTGAATATCTGTAGTACCAATATTTGCATTCTCAAGTTTAGCTTCAGAAAATTGTGCTAAAAATTGAATGCTAGTTAAATGTTGTGCTCGTAATCCACCTTGTGATCGACCTGCTCGAATATTTTTAACTCGAACAGGAATGTTCAATATAACGGTCAATGTTGTAGCATTTCGCAGTATTTGACCACCCTGTTAATAGAAAAATATTCAATAAAATAAATAAACAATTTTTTTTTCAAGTTTGAATATTAGTATACTCAGATAAGCTTTGATCCTAAGTAAGAGTTGAAGCTCGATTGACCGCAATACCAAAGATGTCCATTGGCGCGGTAATCTTACCTTTTCTAACCATAATATGTACTTTTTTAAAATGGTTTCTAGTATTTCCAATAAAAACTTGAAAAAGAACAAAGATAATTAATTATAAAAACATTGATAGTCTTCAAAGTTCAGTCATTAAAGTTGGAAATTATTTGGAAATTTATTTGTTTTATGAAAGAAATTATTTCGATGTATCTTTTATCATAAAACTGTTTGCTCTGCCATTATAATCCTACACGACAGTTCTAAAAATTTCTTGACGAGACAAATGCGATTCAAGACAATACAGAAAAAGTCAATGTTGTTTCTAACAAATAGCTTAACACTTAAAAAAAGAAAACAGACAATGAATTAGACAGTCACTCAAGCAGGAAACGTAACTGACTGCACAAGTCAAAAAAGTGTCAGAACGAGATTCTGTTTGACACCTGCTAGATCTCAATCTTAGACTTCCGTAGAGGAAATCATAATGAATTTCCGTCGGGTTTAGACATCTTAACTCTTTTGACAAGTTACGAGATAATGAATCTCAACCAACTATTGCCATATAAGAAAATTATTACATATAGCATGTGAAATATCAATGATCTTTTTCAGACTGAGCCATGTATGACTATATAAGGAGGCTCTCATTCTCCATATTTTTATAGCCCTGAATGGAGTCAATTGTTTTTAGAAAACGAATTTCAGATGGGCACTTATCGCATTCACACGATGTCGGTAAACTTTCTTGTTCTCACTTTGAAATGATGATTAGTGTGAAGAACGAGTGACTAGCATGAGTCCTGACAATTACTCAAGGAAAATACAGTCAGTTGGCTATTGCTTTTTGTGCAATCAGCCGCCTTTCAGTCAACAGGACGAATACGATTCGGATCATGAAAACGTTTGTCACGCAGTATTCTAGCTGTAATAATTCCTAGAAACAATCTACATTCACAAAAAAGAATAGTAAGGAACGAAGATACTAATAACCCTAATCCTTCGAAAAAGAGAAGCTTATCTCATAGAGAGAATAACATATATCCATAGAACACGTGCAACACAGCAAGCATAACATATGATAGAGAGCGCATATTTAGGTCTGTGACTGTTAAATGACAGCTTTTAACGAAAATAAAAAGCAAT